CCTATACGAAAAAAGAGGAGACGACCAATAGAATTCCAGGTGGGGGATTTCGTAATGTTGAAGGTATCCCCATGGAAAGGTCTTATGTGATTTGGAAAGAAAGGAAAACTAAGTCCTAGATTTGTTGGTCCTTTCAAAATCCTCCAGAGGATTGGTAAACAAGCATACCGCTTGGAATTGCCTGAAGATTTGGCAGGTATTCATGATGTCTTCCATGTGAGTTATCTGCGCAAATGCTTGAGCATCTATGATGAGGCAGTTCCATTATCCTAGGTGAAACTGGATAATAAGTTAACTTATGTAGAAGAGCCTGAAGAGATCGTAAACAAAATAACGACTAAGTTGCGTAATAAAGAAGTAGAGTTGGTGCTTGTCAAGTGGAAACACCATCGAGGCCCGAACTATACTTGGGAAAATAAGAATGAGATAAGATCGAAATACCCCCCCATTTATTTTAATCTATGTAATTTCGGGGACGAAATTCTCAAAAGGAGGAGGTATTTGTAACATACATGTTTTGAGATCGTGTTTCATATAAATAATATTATGAAATATTATGTGATATTGAGTATTTAGTTCTAACAGATAGTTTTTACTAGAAATAAGGTAACCACTATGTTTAGAATCACTCATAAATTATTGGAAGTCTTATGAGATTCCAATTAAAAGCTAAATAGTGAAATTTAGCGAAAATATAAAACTTGAAATAAGTAAAATTTTATTGTTGAAAGTTGTATATAATCTCGTTAGAAACATATAGGCGAAAACGGCATCGAAATCCGAGTTATAACGAAGAAGTTATGACCAATCGAAGATCCGCGATAAAACCGGCACGGTGCCGAATGATGTAAAAAGTGAGTTTTTGATAAACTACTTTTTAGCCTTAGTGATCTAAATGAAAGTCGTAGTATTCGTTAAACCGAGAAGTTCGATAAAAAGAACGCCAAAATCTGACTTCGTATGAGGAAGTTATGATTTTTACAAGTTTCAGCTTAGCAGTAGACAGCTAAAAACTCGAATTTTAGATCGAGTGATTTTTAGCCGACACAACCTAAACGAGAATCGAAGGTCTCGTCATTAGTAGTACAACGGTAAAAAGTCTGACGAAAACGGACGTCGGATGAAGAAGTTATGAATTTTTAACGGATTTACCAGTCCCGGTCTGTTAAAAATAATAATATAAAAATAAAGTCAAAATTTTCCGACGAAGTCTACACGAAAGTTGTAGAGCATAATTTTCTCTACGCGTGCATATAAAGAACGTCAAAAACGGAGTCCGTATGAGAAAGTTATGGATCTACAAGATTGGGCACATTTTTCGAGAAATTTCGCATGAATAGTGATTGCCACGTCACCCTGCTCGGAGTTGGCCACGTGTCCGAAGCTGCTGCGTGGCATGCCCGAGAAGCGACGCGTGTCGCACAGATGTCCGAAGGGCCACGTGATCCTCGCATGCCACACGTGATCCGACCCTCGTGTCCTCCTCCCATTGGACCGAAGCAGCCGACCCGATCCGAAGCCAGAAGCCGCGTCATCCGACCAATGCGAAGCGAGCACCTGTCCGTCCGAGCCTCGCCCTGCTGCTACCTGGTCCGAACCTCGCAGCCGCGTGCCTCCTCTCCTCGCTTCGGATCTGAGGCTCGCACCTATATAAGGGGTATGAGACCTCCCGGTTAGAAGTTTAAAACTTGGCCTTTTTCACCCCTTTTCAACATTTTCTTGCATTCCGACTTCCCCCGAAGCCCCGGTACTTATTCCAAAGCCCGAAACGCGCCCCGAGATTTCCGAGAAGCCCGAAAAATTTATCTTTTCGGTTTCGAAGCTCTACCTTCGCAGAGCCCGGTTTTCAAGAAAACTCCCGGTTTTCAACGAAGAAAGTCATATTTAAAGCCGAAGTGCTGCCCAAATTACTATTTTGACCCCCGGTTATTTCTCGGTGAGTTTAATATATAGGAACAATTGTATGTTATGTGTTATATGTGCTATGTGTTTTTCCATGTTATCATCTCGAGTTGTTGTATCTGCTATTTTATAGCAAGGTTGTACATTTGACTTGAAGTGTATGACATAAGCATCACTTGGGTATTGGTATGAACCGTTGACCATGAAGTGTATGACATAGGCATCACTTTGGCTTCGGTAGTATGCTAAGATAAGGCTGAAAGCCTAAATATTCTAGCAAAATGATATTCTTGAGTATTTACTGTGCCATTTGTGCTGAAACTTTATTGATTTTATATCAAGTATGGAATTTGTTATGTCTCATTGATTAATATGGAAAGCTTTTCGCATTATGCCTTTGTTGTTCCTTGTTCCTCTTTGCTTCTGGCATATTACAATATATATATGGCATAACGTTATATTGTATCTATTATTGAACTCACTAAGCGCCACCGCTTACCCCTCTCAATGTTTAACTAATTTGCAGGAGATAAGCATCCAATATAGTTATATACTGGTAGCAGATTTTTGAATAGTTTGAAACTACTGTATTGATAGAAGATTTTCGAATAGTTTGAAACTATTGTATTTTGCACTCCCATATGTATAAATCTATAGAATCCTGGGAAGTTATGTAATATATAACACTATGAGATAGTGGGTTTGTATCCAGTAGTTTGTAACCGTTTTATCAATATAAAATATTGTTTTATGAATATGCATGTAGCATGTTTCGGAATAACAACTGTCAAATATGAAAGTTTGGGTCTTTCAGAAATATGAAAGTATAGAAAGGGGTTCTTTCAGTTAATATTGGTTATTTAAGAAAAAAAAAACTATTACAAAATTATAAGAAATTATCTTATTCTGTTTTCGCTATAAATCAAATGTGATAACTAAGTAACTAACCGACTTCACAATTTAATTCGATTTCAATTTTTGGTTTCTTCTGTTTTGGTTTTGTTCATTTTTTGTTTTTTGTTTCTTTTCACCCATATATTCATAAATATGAAGTCAACTATGGGCCTTGTATACAATGTATAGTACAAAAAATGAGGTGGATTGGGCCTGTTAACCTTTGTGTGGGTCAGCTCATTACCTGCTTAAAGTCCACATGCTTTTTGTCTCTTACCCAAGAACAGAAAGCTGAAACTTTTTCATTGATAACAAGCACAAGAAAACTAAATTTCAAATTTTGGCCTAAAGTTCGTTTATTCTTTAAAATATCCAATATTTTGACTTTATTCTATTTTAGACTTATTTTATTTTAAAAGACTCGTTCTTATCTATTCATTTTTATTTCAATCATGGAACCGATTATTAACATAGAAATTCTGTTTATTCCACAAAAAACTATACATGCTGTATTTTTTTCTTTTCCGTTTTAGACCTTTTTTTTTCTTAAATAAACTAAACTGAAACATATGACTTGATATTTCATTAATTGAGATGGTTACCAATCAGGTAACCCTAAATCCCTGACTCACGGCATCCTAAGCATCAATAACTAAAATAATAATTGATTTTAAAACTCTATGTCACGTTTCCGCTTCTTCTTGTTGTAAACCACATTGAGTCTCTTGAAATGACTTCCATTTTAAGCATCAGAAACATAAACTTAGTAAGAAATGTTGAAATGAAATTATGTTATTATGATGATGAAGCTCCTGTTTACCATTTGTCCCAAAACTGTTTTCACATGATTGAGTTTATATTTTTAAAGGCTGTCCCAAGGTTATTTTCACTAGGTCTATGGTATGTTTATTTTTAACAGTGTACCGTGATAGTTTTGCAAGTAAGTTGTTATTATTTATTTATTGTTACCTTTGAGACTATTTTGTCTCAAGTATTTATCAACATTTTATAATGGTACTAACTCCATTGGCATTGTATAGATGGAGGATTTTGGACATTAGTTATTTTTTTTATCTTTGTAACATCCAATATTAAATCACATCTCTTCGACACTGTATGGATGGAGGATCTCAGACATTAGCTTCACATGAACCATAATGGGATATCTAATAGTGATTGGAATCTCAAACATGAATCAAGATATAATCTCCTAAACATTTCTATTCAAGCATAGGAAACAACCTCCCTGATTTATCTATCGGTGCTTACAGTGCCTATGGTGGTCACTTAGGCCTCATGGTAACCATGATTAACCTTAGTACTCATTATAAAACATAGATAAGTAATGAAAAACATGGAAATAAATTTATCTAGCCATTTTATGAAAAGTTAATAGATACTTGAGACAGAATGGGCTTAAAGGTAAAAAATAACAACTTACATAAAAAATTGTCCAAATACACTATTAAATAAATATACCATTAGACCTTACAAAAATAGTATTGAGACGACCTTTCAAAACAAACCTAATCTTGTGAAAATAACTTTGGACCCAATATGGTGTATAACAGCAAAATTCCATTTCAATAGTTCATACTAAGTTTATGTTCCTGATGATTGAAGAAGAAACTATTTTGATTGGACTCAATATGGTGTACAAGAACCTAGAGTTTTAGAAACGGTTATTCTTCTAGTTAGTCGCTACTCAGGATACATATGAATTAGGGGGATATAGGGTTACCTTATGGTAACCGACTCCATTAATGACATAAAAAATGAATAAGTTAAAGTTGAGTTTATTTTAAAAAAATGTTTTAAGTCTATACTTCACCACCTCCGTACAACATATCACATTCATGACAATCTGCTTCCTAATATTGATTCTAAATTTCCTCCTCTTTCATTCTCCTTCTTCTTCTCCAGTGATATTCATTCGTTTGTGAGTGTGAGAGAGAGTGCTATTTGGAAACCTTTGCTCAGGCGGCGGCTCCGACATCGACAACTCCGACGTCCAACCGGTGATAGAGTCACATCGGGAAGAATTCAATAATTTTTTAAAGAGATAAAGAGAGGGGAGTAGGTGGGGTGGGGTGGGGTTGAATTTGTTTTTTTTTTCAATTAAATAAAATACTTAACATAATTAAAACTAGAAAATTGCCCCCGCCATTGCGGGGGTCGGATTTAGATTAAGCGACATAGTTTATTCATTTATTTATTGGAAGGGAAAACTGCTCTTTTGCCAAATAAACACCACATAAATCTTTAGCAATATACCACCCGAGACTTGGCAACTTTCCTGAAGATGAAACATCCATGCGCATTATCATTGTTGGAGTGTTTTCAGATGAAGAAGATTCATCTTGTGTGCCTCCTAAAGGTTGTGGAAGTTTCAGACTTTTGGCCCATGTAGTTATCCCAGGAGAAGACAACTTTGATGGTGAATCATTTGTAGGTTCCACTGCTAAGCAAAAGTATCAATTCTTTCTTTTGCAATTTTGAATAATTCCTCTACTGTTCTGTAACTAACCCCTCAATTTCCCTCAATACCCTCCATGGTAAATGTCTTTCCTGTCTCTGTTTCACCATATTGAAATATGCACACGTCGTATCCATCGAAAAGTGAAGCCACCAATGGTGAAGCATTGTCCGTTTGATGATGAATCAAAGTCAACCATGGTTGACCATCCGGTCAAAGTTTCTTTTTTGCTTGGTGGACGTCATCTGCAAAACACCTGTGTGTTTCCTGAAACTATAAAAAAAATTAGTATTTATAGAAAGTTAGAAACTTTATATGTTTGTTAAAAAAAGAAAAAGAAAAAGAAAAACTTTGCACACCTTTTATATCCTCAAATTGATTATGAAGCTTTCTTCCCTTGATTTGTTCTTTGTTGTATTTGACTTTAAGATGCTCACACTGTGCAACTAAAAGTAATGATAGAAAATGTTAAAACTTACAATAGGGTGAAAATTTAATCATGAATTTACTAATTTACCCACCCATTGCTTGAACTGCAGAAACCATGTTATTGAGATCAGGAAGGAACTGAGCCAGCACAGTGGTGTGCTTGAAGAGAGAGCTGAGAGTGGTTTGGTTTCAATACCTACTTCCTTGACTGCAGCCACCCAAACTTTCTTGTCATGTTCATATCTACCTGATATGCCCCTCAATTATTTAGATTGTTTCTCCATTTTTTGGTCTAAAAATAAACAAAATTAAGAATTTCTAACATCTATAACAAAATTATTATTTATATCTGCAAATGAAAACGATAACACTAATTTCATAAGGAAAAAAGTCACAAACATGCATACACATATATACATAGAGAGTCTATTATAGATTTCATTAAAGCGTTTATAAACATGAAAACAGGAAAAACTCATTTAAAACTACAGCGTTGTTCTGTTTGCATTAAGTAGAAAAAACAATAATAATAGAGAGACTAACCTGGAGTTGGTCTTCACATCTTTTAAGTTTGTCACTATATTCTCTCATATTAAGAAAATATTTATGAAGCTGCAAGAAAATTTTTTTAACAACATGAATACAAAAAAAGAAAAATAAATTAATGGAAGTACCTTAATCAACTGTTCCTTGCGATTTGAAGTGAGCTTTTTAGCAGTTGCAAGTACATCCTTTAATGAAAAACTTATGAAGGGTAGAATTGTAATTTGGTGTAAAAGAAGAGATCGATCATACAGTTTACCAAGTAGAAACACAATCTTGACCAGATTTTTCGTTGAGGATTTTTGTCAAGTAATTGGTGTTCAAAACTTAAAAAGAACAAAGAACAAAATGAATAAGAGTTACAAACACTAAAACTGTGAAATTGAAATACAAATGGTGGAATCAACCTGCTCCTACACTCTTCCCTGTCTTCCCTCACCTTCCGTCTCCCCCCAAACCAAATTACCTGATGACAATTGTGTTCGTTCACAAACACGATTCAAAACATTCCATAATTCAATATCCAGAAACATAGGGGCAGAAAAGTAAATTTAGTTGGGACTTTTAATAGTTACAATGGATACCTCATTCATTTAAAATGGATAATCAAACAATTATAATCAAGTAATGAATTAGGTAAACTAACCTGGAATTAATACAATAATCCGATCAGGCATTTCATCGAACGCCTTATAGGCATGTTTCTCATCCAAAAGTAGTAACCTTGTTGAGTCTTTCCACTTCCCAAACCTGTAGTCAACGTATCCAACTAACCCATTCAAATCCTCATGCCTTTGCAGTTGTAAAATTGATCTACAAACAAAATCAACCCAAAAAAGAAAACAAATAATTGAACCTCTAATTTGTAAAATAAAAAAGTTACCTGTGTCCTCGTTGCGTTGTTGCGACGGAGTAGAAAGTGCAGAGGAAATGAGGCCGATTCGACACGTTGGTTGCTTTTTGTCCGTTAATGTGAGGGTAATTTGGTCTTTTCAGGTAGTAGGGACTGAATTTGTCAGCATGGGTAAACCATATGGACCATTTATGTAATTTTGGCGATGGTGGTGGTGGTGGTGATGGCAGATGGTGGGTGGGTTTATGGTATTGGGTGGGTATTTTCTAATAAATAAAACATTAATTTAAAACCAAAAAGAGAATGTTAAATCTGGTAAACCACAGGGACCAATCGTGTAATTTTGTCTAACAATAATAATAATAATGATGAGGGACCATTTCTGCCAAAAGACTAAATACTAATAATATGTAATAAAAGGCGAGGGTTATGAAAAATTCAAACCAAAGTGAAAGGGTTGTTTGTGAACAAAAGCATAAAGATGAAGGGTTAATGTTATAAGTTGGAGGACCAAAATTGACAAAAAATGTGTCATTTTACTGTTAAAATCTTTCCTAACTTTAATATATATATATATAATAATAAATAGAAAATAATAATAATAATAATGACAAAATAGTTATTTTAAGTCATTTCAAATTTCGAAGGGTCCAAACCAAAATAAAAAAACATTTCGTGGACCAATGATGATAGTATAAAACTTTTTGGACCAAAATGGTATTTTTGGCTAACCATATGGACCAAATTTGCAGTTTTATCTTGATTATTTCAATACTCTCCAAAAATATCATTCTCACAATAACTAGCATGTATGTCACATTGTGGTATTTGTGTTTCTTATGATTCTTTAGAAGTTAAGTCCAAGAAGAAACGCGAATGAATAGAAAAGGACTAGAGAGGGGAACTCAGAAAGGTGCTACATTATAGCTCTTATCTGTCACCACAAATACCATTGACTTTTTGGTAATTATCCTCAATAAATATTATACCATTTATTTAAATGTACCAACTTTTTTTTATAATATTAAATTCTTAAATATTTCCACAAAACTACTTATTATGTAAATAAAAATTATAATATTTGACTTAGAAACAATTTTATAAAATAATAGAGGTGGAAATCGAGCAATTTGGGTAACAAGTCATAATGTTTGATCTAATTTCAATGTATATTATAATGTTATAAAACTTTAAATAAAATAAAATAAATTATATTATTATAACAATAATAGTAATTGAATAAAACAAATTATGAACCTGTATCATTATAATTACATTTAGGGATTGCTTTCCGGTTTGAGTCGTTGGAAATAAAGCATAAATTAATAAATAGGTGTTTTAAAATATTATGATTGTTGAGTAGAAATATAATGAAAAAGTACTTTTAAGAAGCCTATCGATCCAAAAATAGTTGGAACCCGAGAAAAAAAAAGGCCCTCATAGACTTTTTTATTTTATTTTTTATACTAAAATAAATGGCAAAAATCCTTTTGTGTGTCACGCTAATAAGCTATAGAATGAAAAATCATAAACTAGATGAAAGATAATTCACCTTAAATTGGGTTTCAATGCTTGATTTTAAGTCACTTAAAGTTATAGTTTATTTCCAATACAACAAACAAGTAAAATTTCATATAATATATTTAAAAACAAAACAAGCTAAAAAGATTTCCAGAATCATTTTACCGAAATAATACCAATTTCTATTGATAAAAAAAAAATGTAAACCCCAATAATTTTAGTGGATTGAACAAAGGTGACAAGTGTCATGTGTATAGACCTTATATCTATATTCCCAAAAAATCCACGTTAATCCGTTTGAAGTTAAACCTCTCCCCTTCATCTCTTCCCTTTGTTTCTCCCTCCAAAAGTTTCTTCCTCACTTTGCTTTCATGGCGGTGACAGAACTAGGCCATGCTTACACAACGACTACCTTCAGTAATTCGCGCTTCCTCACTTATGTCTCATCGTCCACTCGTCTCTCCTATCACCGCCGCCTGAGTTATCGGAATCTCCCTCGAACTCCAACTACTGCTATCCGTTGTTCAGTTACCTCCGAGTAAGCTTCTTTCTACTGTCACATGTAGTAGGATTTTTAGGTGACTTTTGTTGATAATCTGTGTTTGTGCTTAATTTTACAGCCAAATTCAAGCTCCGGTTGGTATTGATGCGAAACAAAAGCCTGATTGTTTCGGTGTATTCTGCCTCACTTATGATCTAAGTGATCTGAAGGCTGTAAGTTTTCGACTTCCGTTCCTTGCTATTTTCATAAACCCTCGGCCCTTAAATCAATTTCATCTCCTGCTTATTTCAAAATTTGACGTACATTTGATTTTCCTCAGTTACTCTTGCAAGTATTAGATGATTGTTTGTTATTACCTAGTAATAGATGAGGATTACAGTGATAATTTCATTTCCGGAAAAAGTCTTAATATCTGAATTTTTACATCTAGGTAAATCTGAACTTCCATAATTGCAATGAATATAACTATTGTGTTGATGAATAAATATGATAAACAAACAATTAAAACATTGAATATCCGTCCTTACTTTTTGATTCAATTCTCTACTCCCTCTGTCCCAAAGGCCAAATCTGTTATTGTACAAGTTCTGATGTATTATGTTCTTTGCGGATGCACATTTTCAGGAAGATCAAACAAAATCATGGAAGAAAATGATTAATGTTGCAGTCTCAGGTGCTGCTGGGATGATATCCAATCATCTACTCTTCAAGGTAACAAATTGTTTCCCCTTTTTGGTATATAAAAATCTAGAACCTCTGAGATCTTTACATATGTTGCATTAAAATCACAGCTAGCATCAGGTGAGGTTTTTGGCCCAGATCAACCAATTGCCCTCAAACTTTTGGGGTCTGAACGATCATTTGGAGCTCTTGAAGGTAATGACTAGTCTATATCACTCTTATTTAGTATTAGTTATGTCCAAAACTTCATGATGAAATGGTAATAACTAATAACACAGGAGTGGCAATGGAACTCGAGGACTCTTTGTATCCATTATTGAGAGAAGTAAGCATTGGCATAGATCCATATGAGGTATTTGAAGATGCAGAATGGGCTCTTTTGATTGGAGCTAAACCTAGAGGCCCTGGAATGGAAAGAGCCGATTTGTTAGACATTAATGGCCAAATCTATGCTGAACAGGTTCTTTTAAATCTTTTCCACTTCACTCAAATTTAATTTCTCGAAAATCATATAATTTAAATGGAATTTATGATAGGGAAAAGCTCTCAATACTGTTGCTTCACGTAATGTCAAAGTCATGGTGGTAGGAAACCCTTGCAATACCAAGTATGGAATTTTAACTCGGCTTTTATATATTTTTTTATGATGAATATGTGAAATAATAATAATAATAATAATAATAATAATAATAATAATAATAATAATAATAATAATCTTATTGTATGTCACTCGCAGTGCTTTGATTTGTATGAAAAATGCTCCAAATATACCTGCAAAGAATTTTCATGCTTTAACTAGACTAGATGAGAATAGAGCAAAATGCCAGGTATTAAACACACCATTAAAAAAGTAACTTTAACCAAGTTTTAAAATATATACACAACTTTTTAATTCTTTATTCTTTTATGCAGTTGGCTCTCAAAGCTGGAGTTTTTTATGACAAAGTCTCTAATGTCACCATTTGGGGAAACCACTCGACTACTCAGGTAACCAAATGAATTTTAATTTTAATTTCTTAATTTATTTTTTAGTGTTGTGTTTTATTTGCTGAAAATGTAATTTGTTTTTTTTTAGGTTCCTGATTTTTTAAATGCTAAAATACATGGGATTCCTGTCCCGGAGGTTATTACAGATAGGAAATGGTTAGAAGAGGACTTTACAAAAATGGTTCAAACGGTAATAGTAAATTAACTTTTCTTTATTTTTATATATTTTTTTATATACTTTTTAGTAGTGAATGTTGGAAAATGTTTTTTTTAGAGAGGTGGGGTTTTAATTAAAAAATGGGGAAGATCTTCAGCTGCATCAACTGCTGTTTCTATTGTGGATGCAATAAGGTCTCTTGTAACACCCACACCCGAAGGTGATTGGTTTTCAACTGGAGTAAGTTTCACCGACTTTTGGTTTTTACTTTTTTTTTTTTTTTTTTTTTTTTAAATATTAAAATAGTTACTATGCTAATTTCTTACAATTGTAAAATGCAGGTTTATACAAATGGAAATCCTTATGGAATAGCAGAAGATATTGTTTTTAGCATGCCCTGTAGGTCCAAGGTATGTACAAATGTTTAAATCATAAATTAATTTAGATATTTATTTATATTGAATCATACAAATGGGAATCCTTTTTGTTTTTTTTTTATGAATTTAAAATTTATTAAAAGATTATTTTAATGGTAGGGGGATGGCGATTACGACCTTGTGAAAGATGTCATATTTGATGACTACCTTCGTAATAGAATTAAAAAGGTACTCAAAATCTTTCCTATTTACACTTTATAACATTTAATGCTAAAATTTGGATTTTTTTTTTTTAGTCGGAAGATGAGCTGCTAGCGGAGAAGAAATGTGTAGCACACTTAACAGGAGAGGTAAGTATCGAAATACTTAGGGTGAAATTAACATTTTTAATTTGTAAAATGTAAAATCATAACATTATTTTGTTGTATTTTTGTAAATTTTAATTTTTCAGGGAATTGCGGTATGTGATCTACCCGAGGATACGATGCTTCCAGGAGAAATGTAGAAGGCTACAGTTGATCAAAACTTCATCTTCTTTTCATACAGTGATACTGAGATCTGTGGTAAACAGAATTAGAATCATGTTTATGAAATGTTATTGAACGATTATAGTTGCCAATAAGGGCCAATTGATGCCATGTTATTAGTTTGAGGTTATTTATAATTATGTTTAACTCCTTTTCCCTCTCATGTCCTGTCATCTTTGTACATGTATGCTATATCATTACCTATATGTAAGAGATTTATGCTTTGGTCCACGTCGATGAGCTGTTTCTGTCCTTGCTTATCTCCCCAATAGAATAGAAAGACGTAGTCGGCTATTTTTAACGTCTACGACAGTGAGCAGCTTGGGTGCCTCCTTGTGTCACCAATGTACCTGCTTGCTTACCATCATCTTCCAATTAGAGGATTGTTGCCGCCCATAGCTTCCATCATACTCTTCCGATCATTAACAAAAGACTTCACGGTGGTTTTCCTCTAGACTTGCCACCTCCTGGTTTATAGCCTTGCCAGTTGCCACTAGACACGTTTTTCCACTGATATACTATACCACCGCCTCTCTTGTTTTTTTTACTTTATATTTGAAAAACGCTCTTCTACTTCACACAACCACTATCCATGGCTCCAACTTCTGAAATTTTGAGTCAACTCTTCTCAATATCATCAGTACAAAAAACTACACCCCCAGCACTGCGACAGCTGACGACCGCCATATCCTTCTTCCGTTGTTTCTTGATACAAACCACAACCTTCTGTTCTTGATAATTTGCAACGCAAGCATTATGTATTCCAGTGTAAGTACACTTAGGGAAAAGAGACGTGACTACTTTAGAGGCTGAAATGTATATTTGATTATTGTAAAAAATTGAAAAAGGGTTTTTCATAATATTTTTTATTTAAGCAAACAGGGTTGTTGAATGAGTACTTTATTAGGTTTGCTATGAACAAATATGGATAACATTCTTTGAACGTATATCAAATCAGATGAAGAGAAACAGAGGTATGTGTTAATTGTTGTCTGTTGAGTGGACTTTGATACACGTCGATTAGGTGCTTAAAATCCTCCAATAAGAACCGTGGGCGGACATTTTTAACCTTTCTTACATAAGAGCCTTCAAAGATGGGTTTGCTTCAGCTGCCTATTCTTTTTAACTTATACTGCATCAGCTGTTTGCCTCCTTCACACCACCACCTCAATTACATGCCTAAAGGTGAGTCACTTTCTCTCTTTTCTAACGTCGTTTCCTTTTCCACCACCTCCTTCTTTGTTTTGTGGCCTCATATCACTGCATCAGCTGAAGTCGTCGCAATTTGGGCCAACTGGGTCGCCGGAGTCCAGGTAGCTAATAATGCTTGTTACCGCCTTATCAGGAAAGTAGAACTTTGTGTTTCTAATTAATCGAAGAATCAAAGTTTGAACTACAGCTTAAGGGTAATTGATTTGAAGTTATGCCACTGATCCTTCTCTCACATCCGCAAGGCAAACCTTAAACATATCAATATATACAACCATCTCTCGGTAAGTTCTATCTAAAGGTTTTTAGATCATCCACTTATATACTTTTTCTTTGATTAATTTTGTTGGATTATTTATTTGAAAAAAAAATAGAATTGCTGCAACTTGTTAGAATTTTAAATGATAATCAAAGTTTATTTGATGGTCGTAGATCAGTTGTTCGATGAAAAGGATAAACCAACTCTTATGGTCAATAAATTGGTTCACTATTGAAATGGACCCACCTTGGAATCCACATGATTTGGAAACGATCTTGCTATTTGTCTTTCTTGTTGCTTTATGTACAATTTTTTCTATGTGTGTGTTGGTGTTTGGTTGACGCATCATTAAGATGAACTTTATCTTCCCTTTTATAGTGAAGAATATTAGTTAAAAGCAAGAAGGGGAGAGTTACAACTATTACAGTTTGGGGGATAGAATTGTATTTATGTCACTGAGTATGTTTCAGATTATGATACCCATTCTTTTGTACATATACGTGGAGCTTGTGTATGTTGGTGAACCTTACTTTCTGATCGGAGTGCCAACTGAAAGATGAAGTTTCAATGTGCAAGCAGTGAGGGTGTAGATTATACTGGTAGAAAACATAGAAGAAGAGGGATGCAACATTCAAGGTATTAAAAGTTCCTTTTTTTCATTAGGTTTGACATAAAATAGCAATGTGTTTATAACAGTTCCTTTTTTTCTGTTACATTGAATTTCCACCGGTTTGAATGCTTTAATCGTTCATAGTTTCTAGATTCGTACTCATATGAACATGTAATTTAGTAAATTAAGGTACATAATTGTAAGCTGACATTTCAATTTGATGTCATTTGTTAGAAGGTTCGACTTATCATGTTTTTGTTGCAATTATTTATTACTACTATGTTTCATTGCTTTCAATAAAATAGTGGAAATCTTCAATTTAGTAGCGTCTACCCAAGAAAATCAAATTTATTGCATTTTGGTGTTAATCTAATATGATATTCATCCCATGTGATTAGTTATATTGGGTATTTTAGGCACCATAAGTCGAGAACCTAAGAACCTACGACTTGAGCAATATAGAAAAGGACTTGGATCTGGCATAATTGATTCTTACTAAGAATTTATGATGGTATGTCATGCTTTTTTAAGTATGTTTATTTTATAATTCCCTAGATTCCTAAAAAAGAATTGCACTTTATTAAGAGAATAAAGTTTGATTGTTTGTTCCCCTCTCTCCATAAAGGTGTTGAAATCCCCAAGTTGGTAAGACAAGAACACTCGAATTTTGTGAGACCATTGCATCAAAATTGTCTGAGTTTCTTGAATTCTCATTTGGTAGTAATTGTATATCTGTAATTTTGAGTCATTGCAACTTACAAGTCCAGTATCCATTAAAGTTGGTATATTGGAGCTATTGGGTATTACGTAACGACACGTCGCCGCTAATACTATTAGAGGCGACATACGCTACTATTAGCGGCGACGCGTGTCGCCGCTAATTGTCGCCGCTAATTTAATACACTAATTTCTTGTAGTGAGTGCTTATTTTTTTTAATTAGTAAATTAATAAAATAACTTATTTTTATCATTGGGTTTTAATTTTGAAATAAATTGAACTTCAATTTTTTAAATATGATAAGATATATAAACAATCATTTTAGACTTTTGGATGTTTTGAGTTACTTTCATGTATAGTATGTAGAGTACTGAATTTGAACCTCAATGAGTCTTTCACATCATGCATGTATGATCGTGATGAGGAAACATCGATTGGTGCTTCTGATGACTTAAAGATTAGTTGCTAATTGCTCAAAGATCTGGATTTTGAGGGATTTATTTCCTACTTCCAGCTGAATGAGGACCACAAAGTCGTGCAAGAGTGGTAAGGATTCTAGGCATCTTCTTTAATTGAAGAATTAATAATGTCCAAATCAGTCTTCATCTCATCTGAGGTAGGATGAACCTATATAATATATTCCATGCGTAAGAGATAAATGAAGAAAGCAACAGGTGGCATACTTGATAAAGGAGAATGCACTGCCCGGATGATTACCGCTCTTATTAGAAAATGGAGTTATAATGGTGCATTATTGTCATTAGCTTTTATTTCAGTTAATATAATCCAAATTTGGCCTTCGCTTTTTGAAGAATAAGGTTAGGCTTTGTGGAAATTGTATAACTAAGAAACACAAGTTATGTAATTTGTGTTTGAAGTTTCACATGTGGAACCAGTTATTGGGATAACATCATGCAAACTAACTGTTTGATGGAATGCTTGGATGGAATGATTCATTTTGTCACTTTATTTTCTACAATACATTTTGAACCTTCCTTGGTTGCTTGTCCTGAACAGCTATGTGAACCAAACTCAGATGGGTTTTTAAAAGTAAATGATGTTTGTAAAAGTAAATTACATAATCTGCCCTTTTAACGTTCAGTTTTCTTATATTGGTGATAAAGTTTTGATTATTTTTTATAGGTCGTGATGATGAGTTTGCATCTTTCTGGTTGGATTCAAGTAAAGTTTAGATTATCCACATCTTGTCGAGGCAAATTAGATGGTTATATTATCAAAAGAAATTTTTAATTTCTCTTTTCACAATGCAACCGGTATGTTTGTAGGTATGGAAGATTTATCCTCTTTGTTTGATCATTTACAGATCTTAGCCACATATGAATCTGTCATATGATTTGTCTAAACACGTTTTACTTAGATTTCATAGAAAATTGTCATTTAGTCTTTGGAAAATCCATCTGTTGTAGACATTGTTATTTCTGAGACATGCCATTAATGTGAAACAAACGACTGAATTGAGTTTCTTTAGGTTATATCTTTTAATTACAGTTGCATCTTAAGCCTTTGAAAAGTTGAAATGACATCTTTGAAGACATAATGGATTTTTAGGCAACTGAAACAACTATCCAACCAATTGAAATCAAGACATTTAGTTGGTATTTTTTTGTTGGCATGAAATGGAATGGATCATAACTCCATTTCTTTACTACACTCCTGCTCCTTTTTTTTTCTTAATCTGCCAAAGGATTTGTGGTGTCTTGGTTTCAACTTGCCGTTTCTCTTCATCAACTTGGCTCCAAAACCGGTTTTCCTTAGAATTACTTAAAATTAGCTTACTGGTCAGTTCTTTAGGGCCGTGATTATCACGGCCCCAATGAGTTTCCTAGTATATATATGTATCCCACTTGCTCTTCTGTTTTTGGAGACTCCAAATTAATTAGTCTGCCATGCAAAGTCGTGATTTAATCTAGAAAACACAAGTTCAGACGTTATTTACTAAGCATCATCCAGAATTTCTTGTTTAACTTTGATGAATTGACTATCTCTTAGATCTTTTTTGAGATATGTTATTCCTACCCTGATTTTATAATCTTACACATATAATAATTATTTGTTAGGTGATAAATCTTAAATTATTTACTTTTTTGACAGCTTTTAACTTTTTAAACCAACCCGTTAAGAGAAATGTTAATTTTACGAAAATATTGGTAAAAGTGTCTTGAAAATGATGAAATCTTAGGTATCTAAGAATACCCAGGCCCAATACTACCCCTAATAATATCTTTTGAATTCGCCATAAATTTACAAATTTATTTTGCTTGAAGTTTCTTAAGACTTTTTTATAATGGTTTATAAGATTTGTTTCTTTAACGTTTTTTCCATTTTTTTTAATATTTAAAATATTTTCTTATTTATATATTTTCCAAATTTTACATTATCTCATATGCATTAGCAAACAAAGTTTTCTTGATGATTTTGTAACACTTGGATTTGATGAAATAACTAATATGATTTAAAATCAAAGCAACAATAAAACAATAACTAATTATTGTTTTATTATATGATATGATTTTAAATCGTATCTGTTATTTCATCAAATTCAAATGTTTCACAATCATCGAGAAAAATTGGTTTGTTAATGTATATGAGGAAATGCAAAAGTTGAACAAAAAGTTAAGAAAATATTGTAAAAGAATTTCTTTAAGTTGGAAAAAAGCCACGATCTTTATAATGTTCTAGAGTAGATAAGCCATTATGAAAGTTTTGGTTGTTGGTCTGAAAAGGACTAAGAACTTATTTCTCCAAAACTGTTCAGAGCGCTTCTCACGACGTGAGCATTCATGGATCACGATGTGAGAATGGACCATCCCGACTATTTTGTCGCATTCGGTCACGATGTGACATCTAGAAGGTAACGACGTGACGTCAGGCTGTGAGATTTTTGAATAAGGACTTTGACCGTTGACCAAGTTTGACTTTAGGTCAATTAGTGTGATTTGAGTAGTAGATTGAGGCCTGGTCCCTATTTATTTATAGGTGATCTGTAGAGGCAGTATTTGGAGCAGTGATATCTTTAGCTATTTTTCAGACTGTGAGGTGAGTTTTCCTCAGTTTACTTATGGGTCGAAGGCACCAATGTCGGCCCTCTAAGTTATGTAACACTTTATATAGGATGTTGTTATGATGTAGTGATCCGTTAGATCCGCATGATTATTTGTTTGTTGTTATATGTTTTATCTGTTGCATATGTTGACATAGTACGGTTCGGGTTGAGGCTTTACTATTATATGTGTAAGCCAACAGACCGAGGCATTCCAGACCGACCACTGATTAGGCCGAGGCATTCCAGACCGACCACTGATTAGGCCGAGGCATTCTAGTCCGATGACTGATTGGGTCAGGCTATTTCAGTCTGATGACTGATTGGACCCGTTGCATATTGGTATTCCAGTCTGATGAGTGACTGGGCCTAGGCATTCCAGTCTGATGACTGATTGGGCCAGGGTAATCCATTCTGATGACTGAGGACCCGGTATGCATGCTTATATGTTTGTTGTGTGTGGTACTTTGAGGGAACTCACTAAGCTTTGGATTACAGTTTGAATTTATGGTTTCAGATACTTCAGATGATAAGGGAAAGACAAAGGCTTGATCGTGCACATCATCCTGGACTTTATGTGATTATGATTTTGGGGACACTCTTGATTCATGTTTTATAACTATTGAAAACTATGTTTTGTGATATTATGGATTTTGGATTGGTTTGAAAAATGAAAATTTTTTACCTTGATTTTTGGGATGTTACAAAACTTGCAAAGGCAGACATCTAGCCTTCAACTTTGCGACAATGACACACTCAAACCATGAACTTCAAATTATTTCTCAAACAATGTCACAAGGTTAAATTTCTAACATGTGCGATTGTGCGACCCTTGAACACTCCTATAAAAGGCCAAGTAGAGGGGTTGATCGTTGCTTGTGAAGTACTTGTAAAGGAGAATCGAGACTAGGCATTGAAAGATTTTGAACAATTTAGATAATATAAGATTGCTCTTATTCAATGGCGGATCTACTATGTATCCCGGGGTAGCCCGGGATACCCCTCAAAAAAAATTTAGTAGTGTAATTTTTTTCGAATTTTTTTTTTATTGTGTATTATTTGTCGGGGATACCCCTTTACTTTGATCCTGGATCCGTCAATGCTCTTATTGACCTTAAAAGATGAAGTCATTACAAAATGGTAAACAGTAAAGGTTGCTTATATATACTTTGCCACAAATGCATTACAAGTAGACATGTACAGAAATATTTGATCATTGCGTTATGATCATTGCATTTTGAGGGGTCAAATAATCAGATTTCTATAACTAGTCATACACAGTTGATAGAGTAAAACGGATTAGTAACTTTAAGAGGCAAATTACCAAACTCCTACTAAAATCATATAAAAATGAAAACGTGACTATGTTGAGTTTATTTTTTTTTTAGGTGTTATAAAATGAAATAAAGGGAAAGCCGATGCAAAGACAGAAAGACCAAAGTTGATAAGGTGTTCAAAGTAGAAAAGAAGCTTGAGATTGGAAATAGTTAGAAGAGCTTGGACTGAAGATGTCAAGTTGATAGAAAGAAAAAGGGACTTGTGAGCAGTTAAGTCAAAGATGGAAGATTAAAGTGCAACTTTTGGACTATAATAAGCATCAAGCAAACGATGTTAATAGGTTATATTTTGTATATAGACTAGTTTAGAAACGAGAAAAGGGTTACTTGATCGCTGCCTTCGTTGATTCTGATTCGGAATGTTCATTACATCCAATTGAACAATAAATATAGTATATTCTTGCTTTGTCCGTGTTTTGAGTTTCGTAGTTGTTGAATTTGTTAATTAAAACTTTTGATGAAATGTAAAGTTTTGTGTTAATTCTGTTGAAATGAGTAGATACTGTTCTGATTAGCGTTTAGAAATCCAAAAGTAGTAAGGGAAAAAGAGACAGGCATTTATTGAATGCTTAAAGAGAAAGAGTAATAGAAACATGGCACTATAGAAAAGTAAACACATCATACTGGCAAGAGAAAACATGATAGATGCAATCATACAATGGACAAAAAAAGGAATTACTTGACATAAACCTAAATTATAAGAAACATAACATCATGCAGAGTAATCATAACAAAAGATAAAAGTAGACATGTCGTGATGCCTTTTGTAGCTCTTTTGGCCATTCACAATCTCACTAATGCCTCTTTAAAATTTCAATCGAGAAAATTTACGGCAACTAATCTTATGCTTGGTTGGTGCAACCCAAACAAGACTATCCACATACTCAACAACTTTAGTATAACCACATTTTGTAGATTTAATCTTGAAATGTTTAACCTTTGCTGCAATTGGATCGTACAAAGTTAGTCTGTCATAAACTCCAAAGACAAACTCATTGTGTAACGTGAACCCAAACGGAGATACACCTCCACGACACTTTGAAAAGACATGATGTTTTACCCACGAATCAGCGACCCCATACTCATCCATCGCCCACACCTCACATTCACCATGTCTAAACATTGCCATCACACAAAGCTTTCCAACCAAAACTCCTAATGATATCTCGTAGTATAACTTGTTATCTAGTAAAAAAACAGGAATATAAATCTCATGGAATGTCTCTGCACCCAAATCAAAAGCCAATATCGCAACTGGGTTCTGACCTGATTCCGTATAACCAAACCAATGAAGATGACCATCATGACCATCTACACATACTTCATGATTATATCTAATCCTTGTAATGTGCGATGGAGGACTTTGAGTAATTAACTTAAAAACACCCTTTCTCATGCTATAGACTTCAACTAGCCACAATATGATGGGTTCTTGGTCAAGGCTTGTAAGTTTCACAAGTTTGTAATCATCGGTTGTGGGATCATACCCAAACCGAGGAAAAATGCCAACTAGATCCTCATAGTCATAGTCTGGCATATTATCACTTGGTGGGAGAATTAACAAAGCGGAGAGAGAAGGGTTCCAAATGTAATAGTCTCCATCAATATATGGTCCATACTGAAAGCATATTAGACCATTAACGGATCCAATAACATAACCATAATGATAACGTTCAGATTGGAGATTTGTCGGGAGTCTTATGAAATTAGTGAGTTCGAGATGGGGAGATCGCAAGGGGTGTGCTGTGAAAGGTTTAGAGTGGAAAGAAAACAGATGGTAGAAGACCAAGAGGATTTCATCGTTTTTATGGCGTGAATGATCGAGATGGGATTTTACAAAGGAGGGTCGAGACAAGAGATCATTCCAAGTTTTAGAGACGCACCTCATTTGAGCAAGCTGTTTTGCCAATAAACGGATAAATATGTTTGATAAGATATCGTTTGGAAACTTCTCCATGATTGCTAGGTGTTGAGGTGAAGCCATTTGATGATCATGAGTGAAAGTAAATGTAAGGTGTGTGAGCTTATTAATACATGACCGATTCTCTTTGGAAACCGGTGCCTTCAATCGTTCAAACTTCGGGGTAGTAGAAAGGTTACATAAAATTAAACTTCTTAGAGTACTAAAATGCAATTTATTTATATTAAATGCAGTTATCATTATACTCATACCATAGTCATACCAAATCATTATTAACTCGGCTTCCCCATGTTAAAACTACATTCATCCCCATAACCCATTAAACCTAATCCTCAAAAAATAATGAAACGAATATATAGGATGTATCGCCTTTTCTTGTTCTTGGAATATGAATCACCGTGTAGTTCATTATGGGTCGTCTGACATTGCATTTTGCAAATGTTTTTAAGCAGGTACAGTACTAGTCCAAAGGTCAATACTGACATTACAACTTTCATTTAGTTTTGAAACTCATTGACTTTTTGGAAAAGCCACTATTCCTAGTTTTTCTAAAAATTTTTTTTTTTTTTTTTTGCTTAAAAAGTCATATTTACCAAACACATCGCATTTTTAATTTATTGATTTTTTGAAAAGTGTTAATACTGTCATTTCAAAGAACACTCTCAAACACCCCCTTGATGCATTGAACATTCTCAGGTACAAGCTTCCATATCCCCAGTTTGCTCCGGTGGGAATAGGCATTGACGTCCATATTTAGTTTTATGGAGATAATTCATTCACTCAAGAAGTTGATTAATCATACATATAAAAATCAACTCCTATGATACAACCAAATTAAGATATTTTACATCCATATATAGGTTTATAATATAACAATTGCAATATTCATTTATTTGAGATTTTTTTTAACAAGGCGAATGGTAATATAATAATTGCAATAGTCATTAATTTGAGCTTTTTTTAACAAGGCAGATGGTATTATAAAAGCAACAAAAAAAAAAAAAAAATAGCAAGAGACGACAAGTTTACATGTTACAAGCTTTCAAAAGAATTTTCCCACAAGAAAAGCATCGTGTGTATGTCATCCTCCAAATATTCTTTTAAGGCCTTCAATTACTTAAACAAAATACCGTTTCTAGCTTTCCAAACCGTCTGAAAAATAGTCTCGTTAAGAATAAATATGAGATTTTATCTCATCTTATCAACTACTCATTCAAACGACCCAAATTAGGATTTTACATTTATGTTTCTTATTTATAGCATACATTTGTATTATATATCCATCTTGATATAGGATAACCAATTTTTATTTATTTTATTATTATTATTATTATTTTTTAATAATTTTCCTCGCTTATCCATATGGTATTCGAGCAAGTTTATGTCTGATCCAATTTAGGCCTCGTTTGATATGCGTCTGACCGAGTCAAGTCAGACGTTTTTGGCTGACTCGGTCAGCAAAATGTGGTTGATAATCCAACTTTGGCAGCTCAGCAAGTGAAATGGGAGGTTAAGGGAATTGAACTCGGGTCTCCCCTGTACACACAATGGCATTTACCAGCAAGTTAAAGGGTTTTTTGTGTTTTAATCTCTAAAATAGTATATTTAATGTCTATTATGCTGAAACTTTTGTATACATTATTATTATTATTATTATTATTATTATTATTATTATAAAGAGCACCAGGGTAAAATTGTCATTTTGCATCAGTCAGCACATTCAGTCAGATGTATAATCAAACAACATGGTTTCTTACTCAGTCAGAATTTATTACTCAGACAGACCTTTCTCAATCAGCACTTTCTCAGTCAGCAACTATCAAACGACCCCTTACTTTCCTCTTCTCTCAAGCATGTCTTCAATAGCTTCAACTACAATTCCAAATGTTGATGATCCCGCAACTCCACAGGTAGTTATCAACGTTACCAACATCCTCAAACTCACAACCACCAACTATTTGTCTTGGAAACTCCAAATCGAAGCTACTCCACTGGGTATAGCCTCCTTAAGTCTCTGGATGGTTATTTCCAGCACCATCTCGAATTGTCTCGTTCGAAGAGACACCACCACGAACCTTTCTCACACAACTTGGATCTAGTAATACAAACTCCTCTTTGAAGCACTTTGTAACGCCCGCAAATTCGGGCTAGCCAATTTAGAGATAAATTACACACACACACACACACACACACATATATATATATATATATATATATATATATATATATATATAATTTAAATAAATAAAATTTAGTTATTAGAAGGTATGTAGGGGTAAATAAAAAATTTTAGTTTAAGGTATTAAATTTTATAAATCCAAGAAACTTAAGTGTGGCTTTACTTAGCTAGGTTTGGGTCATGTTAAATATTTGACTAAATATATAGGGTTAATCTAGTAAAGTAGAAGTTATATGTGAAGTGTTGGGACTATTTTGTAGCCAAATGAGCAACATAAGAACTAAAGGGACTAAATATGTCAAGTACCCAAACTTTTGAACATTTGCCCCTATACTTCCCACTTCCCGTCATTTGAATGAGTTATAGAGTCAAAAAAGGGCTTAGAGGCAAGTTTTGAAGCAACTAAGAAGATTGGAGTTAAATTGGAATTTTAGAAGCTTGAAACCACATCGACCTAGGAAGAAGGTAGCCATTTCCCCTCTGTTCTTTCCAAATCTAATCTATAACTCTAAAAGGTTTAAAAATCCAATTTTACAATGGATTTGTCTGAATAAATAGAGTTTAGGGTTTGATTCTACTCTAATGATACAATTCTAGCTTCAATTCCTTCATTGCAAGTTAGAATTGGATTCAAATTATGTTGTGGGAGGTTTCAAACCACAAAAACTAAGAAAAACTCTTATAAACGAATTTAATGGGTTACTTAGCTTGGCTTTAAGTTTCCTAAACTCATATTGAGCTAATGAATCCATAACATGTGACTAGTGACTTTCATTGAGCAAAATAATGATTCAAGCTTTTAATGGAGCTTAATGGATTCCTAAGCTTAATTTTGTTGGAATGTAATGATCCAAAACGCACAATGATAGAATTAAATCATTGACCATCACATAACATCATGGATCCATGTTCATTGAATTATAAGCAACAAAAAACAAATATAAGAATAATTAAAAGAGTGCATTTACAAAGGATGAACTTTAGAACCCAAAGGAGGGTTCCTATGTCGTTTCACGCCCTAAAGTATCAAGTACTTATTCCTTGAAAATGTTATTCCACCATGCAATACAAAACTATTCTTACTGGCACTAAAGAACATAAACAGCAAGTTTTCTTACTTTTTTTGTTGACTAAGAACAAAACCAGAAGAGGGATGGAATTCAGAGAGAGAGAGAGAGAGAGAGAGAGAGAGGGGGGGGAGGGGGGCCAAAAGAAAGAATGGTCTAGAAGGGATGAAATTTAGAACCTAAATGATGATTCCTCTGTTGTTTCACACCCCCAAAGTATCAACTATTTATTCCTTGAAAATGCTATTCCACCACAAAAGAAAAAATTGTTCTTACTGACATCCAAAGAACAAAAAGAGTGAGGTTTCTTACTTTTTCTATTGACTAAGAGAAAAATCTAAAAAGGGGGAGATTTCAGACGGAGTGTGAGTAACATATAAAATGAGAATGAGAGAGAAGGGGGGGAGAGAGAAAAAGAGAGAATGGAATGGCCAAAAGAGAGATGGTCCAAAAGGGAGAAACAATACATATTCATCTTTATCTAGCTAATTTGAATTTCAAGATATAGATTTAGATAAAACTTATATATATATATATATATATATATATATATATATATATATATATATATAAAGAGAGAGAGAGAGAGAGAGAGAAAACTATATTCAAATGTTTCTAGCAACTATTGTGTGCATGTATGCACCAATGAGAATTCAGGAAATAATTAAATCATTAATAAATAATAGAAGGGTATAAGAGTAATCTACACTATAATTAATTATGGTAAAAGAAAACAAAATCAATTAATATCCCATTAATTTAGGTTATCAGTTTCATAAACCTATAACAACACCACCGATTCCCCCTCTTTCTCTAAAAATCATCGTCTGCACCCGAAAACCCTTCTCCTATCCTTATTTCGACACCACCAGAGCAGTAGCATCACCCCACACCACCGTAGAACCACCAACTTTATGGATCGGAGAACAAAGGGTTTTAACATTGCTTGGCGACCAAACAATTTCCCCTAGGTGCGAAATTTATAGGGTTTAAAAAACCCTCTGATAGAAGGTGGTTTCAGAATCGTTTTCCTTTTATTCATATGGCATTGACATTGTTATTGGTTGTCATATTCTTGTTTAGTGTCGTTGCTTTTCCACTTGTTGCTGCCGAGAAGATGAGAACTTTTGTGAGTTTTTTCATTGTTTAAAATTTCTCCAACTTCATCTGTATCTATGTGCAAGTTCCAAATATATTTTACAATTATTTGGATGAAATTGGATTAAATAGTTTGTCTAATAATCAATGAGTTAAATTATTGTTGTGTTTGTTCATTTTGGGTTCAAATTTTTTTAGAGTGAATAATCAACAGTTTTGTATTTCAATCTTGTTTTCTCTATTTTTTATTATTGTTTTTACTTTATTATCAGTTACCAAAATCTCATTGTATATGTTCTGGGAACCAAAATCTCATTGTCTTTGCATTGTCTATTTCTTCATTGGACCTTTATCAACCCTAATTTCTTCATTTGTTCTCGATATTTGATTGTTCTAAATTTGTCTTTGATGAAAAGGGTTAAGCTGACATTCTTTCAGAATCTGCATGAAAAGGGTTAAGTAAGGGATTTTTTCATATCAGAATGCAAACACATGTTCATTCTATGAGAATATAAATATTACATAAAACATGTGGCTAGTAATTCTGACAGAATACATTTATACATGCTTTAGAATGTTTATACATATAGAAGAAAAGATTATGATTTAAGTGCATTATGTAATGTATTTTGTCAGAATTTATTTATATAAATGCATTCTGTTAGAATGTCTTTGAGAATGTTTGTTAACAACAAATATATTTGTTTAAGTGGTAATACTAACGAGTAATGCATCTTATTCTTTCAGAATGGCATGGAGAAGGAATTCAGTATTGATCATACTAGATGAAGATTTGGAATCGAGTTCAACAACAAGTATATATGCGAAGAATTACATTCTTACGATAATACATCACATTTTCGTAAGAATAGTTTGAATCAAGTGGATTATCTGGACTATTGAAGAACAAACGTGTATTCTAACAAAATGTATTATGTCATAACGTACAAAGTGTTTCTTAATAATAATATTCTTTCAGGATTGATTAGTATTTTTGTTAGATTTTTTTTAACCATTCTTAGTTTTAATCTTTAAAAATAAGACAAAATTGCAAAAATGGTCCCTGTGGTATGCAAATTTTTGGGGTTTTAGTCCAAGCCATGACTTTTTTGGATTGGTGGTCCTTTTGAGCTAGTTTCTTTGCGTTTTTAGTCCCTCAGTAAACTGAAAAGACTATTATGCCCTTCTGATATATTTTTTATGCTTTTTCTATTTAATTTAAATGAAAAATAAAATAATTACCTAATTTGGGGCCCACCTCTCTCTCTCTCTCTCCTGTGTAAACCCACCGCCGACCCAAACCTCGTTCGTATGCCTCTCTCTATATATCTCTCTCTGGCAGAGTTTGTACCTTTAAGTAATTTGTTGCTGTTCTTGTTTGTATAATTGTTCAATTTTATCTTTAAATTGTTTTCTCAAGAGGGATCAGGAGTCAAAACTGGGGAGAATGTGGGGATTTGGGGACAGATTCTACAGGGGGAAGACAAAAGAAGAAGAAAGAAGAAGATGACCAGACGAAGGTGGTGGCTGGACTGCAGTGACGAGTTTGGTACTCCGATTGTTAATTTGTATGTGTTCTCCAACCCTAATTAGATTCTTCTATATCCTAATCTTCAGCTGGTGTTATTCCCAATTCCCGGTTTTAGTTTGGTACTCTGATTGTTACATAATTAATATCAGATCGATGGTCCTGTATCCCTGGAAAGTTGTTTCCTTGATCAAGTTCATGGTTCAACCTTCAAAGTATCTAGGTGGTGGCTGGAATGCAGTGAAGAAGGTGGTGGCTGGACTGCAGTGACGAACGGCGGCAGTATGTGGCAGGAGGCTGCTCCGGTGGCCTTCTGCTGCTCCATTTTTGTTTCTGTTCCGACGAGTTATGAGTTGGTGATGAGAGGAGGGGTCGGGAAGGATGTTTCCGACAACAACGGTGGTAATTGGTGGATGTGATTTGCGTTGGCAACCCAAGGGAACATGATGGTGGATGCTGGCGGCGACTTCTGGTGGTTCCCGGTGGTAGTGGGTGGTCAAGGGTGGCAGTTCTTGGCCACTCTTGGTTCCCTCTTCGGTTCTTGATAGAATTCAAAGAGAGGAAAGGGGGAGAAGTGAGGTGGTGGTGGTTTTTGGTCCAACAATGGTGAGGGAAGGGTGGTTTATGGCAGCATCGACTTAGCTCAAGAACAAACTCCCATTTCAGTCTCTTTCACTCTTCCAGCGTACCTCCAATATGGTTCAGAGAGAAAGAATTTCCTGCACCTCTTCAATGGGGAAGGTTGACTTTTACAAAGAGAGAGAGAGAGGTCCTATATTATTTTTTTAATTGTTAAAATAAATAAATAAATATTAAATTTTAAGAAAAATGAAAAATAAATACCCCAAGGGTATTATAGTCATTTCAATTTTCGGATGGACTATTTTTCCATACAAACCACTCCAAAAGGACCATAAATCCAAAAAACTCGGGGTTTGGACTAAAACCTCAAAAATTTGCATACCACAGAGACCATTTTTGCAATTTTGTCTAAGAATAATGTAATTCTTAAACCGTTATTAGTCATATTTTTTTTCAGAATGAATGTAATAATTGTTTATAGTCTTATTCTTTATGAATTAATGTTATTCTTGATAATATGTGGTATAATTCTTTAAGGATATTAAATATAAAAAAATATCTTGAATGAAACCATATTCCACAAGAATAAAATCGAAAATATATTTTATAGTTTATGGTTAACTTTGTCATTCTGACGAAATAAAATTGGTTATTATTAAAAATTATATTAAAATTAAATTTGAATTAATTTAAAAAATCCAGATTTTTAAAAATAAGTGAATTAATTATCCCTTAAAATCCGAAAATTTCCTTTTTTAATATATGTTAATTGACCAAAATACGCTTATGTTGAAATTTGAGAGATTATATGGTGCATGTTACCCTATTGTAATATCACAGACTCTCAGATCATAAATTATGATTCTATTCCATCCGGTGGTCCAGATTTGTGCTTACGGGCACACAATAGTTAGTGAAAACAAAATAACCTAAGTCTCTCTCTTTCTCTCTCTCTCTCTCTCTATATATATATATATATATATATATATATATATATATATATATATACACACACACACACACACACACATACTAGTGGGGTACCCGCGTAATGCAACGGACGACTATTGTGGAGGTATAGTGAATAGTTTTTGTTTGGCATAGAGTTTTCTTTTCGACGACTAATTTCCTTTTAGTGGGACTTGAATAGTTTATGTGTGTCAAAGTAAATTCTTTTCTAATCTCAAAATGGTTTCCCGAAATCCAAATACATAACCAAATATTTGGAAACCAAAATATTTAAGGGGTCGAGGTTCTTGAATTAGTTGGATAAACACTTATTTAATAAATAAATCATTGATAAGATTGTCCTTGCTCGTTCGGAACTTAGGTTGTATTTCATATGCAACCCAATAGGTTCATGCATCATCATTAATGATACCAACATGTTGTGTTAGCGGACATATCTCCACCAGACTCTCACTTTCACATGACACAACAACTATATAACATCATTTATAAGTATTAGTATGGCAATATACCATTGCTCCAAAGTCACCATACGGTATGTCATACATGAAATCATCGAGGCTCATGAATCTCACTTCTACCATAGCCATATGTCAAAAAGAATACATAAATGAGGCCCATGAATATCATTTCTACCATAGCCATAAGTCAGAAAGAATACATAAATATAAACTACATAGACCTTGCCCACTCATCATGACACACATGATATTCCATTATAACTATCAAATATTAACAACATTGGAGAACCCCAAAATATTAATACTGTGACTCAAGAATCTTAAGTATCTTTATTTTAAGTACATAAGATATTATCATCTTAGAATTATTTATTATGTAATCAATGAAGTACTTGATCTCTATCAAATACATATGAGTGAAATTATTCTAGTTTAAACAAGATTCTAAATCAATAACCTTTATTCAATTATTCTAGTTCAAACAAGCTTCTAAATTATTAACCTTTATTCAATTATTCTATTTCAAACAAGCTTCTAAAACATTAACCTTTATTCAAGGGAAAATGTCATAAAAGCCCTCAAGTTTTCAAATTTTTGTAGGTTTTACCCTTGGTGATTTTTTATGTCAATTAAAGCCTAACATTTGAATAAGTTTTGTCATAATTAACTTTTATCAGGTTTCTAATAGGCTAGCCAGTTACCATTTCCAAAATGTATGTTACGTCGTCTTAACCCCCCAATAACCCCCGTTATCCTCTAAACTGAAAAGCTACAACAAAAGTCGCAGCGTCCATGTAATTGAGCACCTGCACACAATGCACACACAGTTGATCAAGGGGAAAATTTGAAAGATAGGGATGAATTGTTTCTTTGGATTTGGTTTGGATTGATCGTCGGCCCCTAGTACTTCTCCAGATCGAGCGTTGCACACGGTGTATGTGCGTGTTTTTGTTTTTTCTTCCGATCGTTCCAAAATCACAACGACTGACGCCGCCATCAGTTTCTTCTTCGATGCCCCTTTGTTCACCAACCCTGATAAACTTGGCTAGGGCTATTAATCGGATCTGTAATAACACACAAACCGTCACAAACAATGCTTTCTTTTTTCTCTGTTTATTGTGTATTTCTATGTATTTGTGTGTTTCCCTTTGTTAAAATCAGACATGGGAGGAGATACACACATATTGGAGATACATAGAGAAAGGGATTGTGATGTTAGGTTATGAAGAAGAAGGCTGTAAGATTTGCCATTGATGTCCCATTAATGGAGATAGAGGTGTCACCGGAGAAGAAACATCCCCTGTCGCCGATTGTACACATCTCACCATGGAAACAAAATTACTCTTGCTGTGAAATGTACCAGGTACCACCTCTTCTTCATCTTAAATTACTCTTGATGATTGTCGGGTCTGCATACCGATTTTTTAATTCTTCATCTAAAATCAATTTTGACAAAGCACCTCTATAAGTTCTTGCATAACACAACATGGTTGCTGTCGATTTCTTCAATTTTGAATATACTTCTTATTGACCTTCAATTTTTTTGACACATTTGCAAATATAGATAGAGGTCCACAAAATACACACTGAAGATGTATAAAACGTAGTCGATTCAACGCCTAGATTCAACTGAAGGGGAGGGGGCTGTGATTTTAAAGGGTTTGAAATGGGTTGCGTTTGTTTGTGAATGTTGAGAGAAAGAAAGATGTTTGGCGTGATGTTTTCCTAAAATATGATGAAGGGTCATAAAGGAAGGAGATGCGGGTCTAGTACTCTAGTGTAATGAAGACACGTAGCATTCAGGTGGCCATGGTAACCGGCTGTTATGAGGCAAACCTGTTAAAAGTTTTAAATGAAAAAGTTAGTGCAAAATATGATGCTTTAATTGACATAAAAAATCATTAAGGGTAAAACCGACAAAATTTTGAAAACTTAAGGGTTTTTATGACATTTTCTCTTTATTCAATTATTATAGTTCAAAGAAGCTTCTAAATGGTGTTTGGGTGTTCATTTAAAAATAACTTTTTAATTTATTAACTTCTTGAAAATTCAATAAGCTAAAAAAATGTTCGGATATCTAATAGATTTTTAAAACAACTTTTTGTTTACCTTTGAAAAAAAGTTTTTAAGAAGTTTAAGATTAAAAAAACAAACAAAATACAATTTTAAGTCGAACACTTTCTAACTTATTGACTTTTGCACTAAAAAACTAATTCAAACATTTTTTTAAAAACTTCTTATTCTACCTTCATAAGTCAATAAGTCCTTTTAAGTAAAAGTCTTTTTTTAACTTCAAAATGAAATCCTAAACACCATCCTAAATCATTAACCTACAAAATAGATTGTTACTTTATTAAACAAACGGGAAATTGTTTACCTACTTTCGTGTATTAGTTATCTTAAATTTTAAGGAATACAAGAAATATTGTTAGTGGATGTATCTGACCTTATACTAAATAATTCTCATGTAATCCATTATGTACAAGAACAAACAAAGTTTGTTCTTATACACCAAGGTACTAAAACATCATGGATTACAACAACAAAAATAAACAAAGAGCAAACAAAGTTCATTCATCTATATTCGTATAACATTTTTAAACCCCCAACATAATTCTAATGTTCTCAACAAAGTAATTGGAGTCACAATTCCACAATACTTATTCTTTTTTAAGCTAGACAAATAAAGTATATATTATATATAGGTCAGAAAAGTATATAAATAGAGTGGTGATTTAGCTCATAAATGACCTGGGACATACAAGACTCCCAATCTTGAAGCTCAAAGAAGCCACCAGAATCCATAGAAGCCCACAGTAAAACCAACTGCGGGACCCACCCAAATTCACCTTCCCATTGTTCATGTCCCCAAATGAGACAACAATGTTGAGCTGAGTGTTCTTCCCCAATGAAAAGTCCATTGCACCACCACCAAACGAGACATTGCTGATGTGGATCATACCAGAAGTGACATTGACCGAGCTTTGACCACGAGAACCAGAAGCCATGTATTTTGCAGGAAACTCAGAAGCAAATGCAGGTGGAGCAGATATGTTCTCCAGCATGTAACTTGCCTTTTTGAGAAACGGGTATGCAATATCTGTATACCAACAATAAAAAGATTTGATTTTGATACACTAAATAACAAAAACCAGTTAAAAAGATTACATAAATACCCTTTTACCTGTTTCTTGATCTGCATGCTCTTTCTTTGAAGAGGAGGCGATATCCTTATCATTGTTCTGTTCTTGATGGATTCCCTTGAGAAGTGAAGATGAGTCGAGGGCAATGTTGTCATTTTGTAACGAATCAAAAGTGGGTTGGAAGTTGTCGAGATCGGAATTATAGAATGACATGTATTCATCGAGTATGTCGAGGCCGGAATCGGTGTTGACATCATCTTTAAGGTCATTTGCTTCAAAGAATAAGGTTTCATCAAGTGGGAAATCAGAAGTAGCATCAAAATATGGTTGATCAAGCAAGTAATCAATGTCAAAATTCATGGGATAGCTTTGTTCTTCAGCATGTTCATGGAACACAGTTTGCACAGGTGGTTCAAATGACTTATTAGATTCATCAGAGTTATCAGCTGTGGGTTGATCTGAATTGCTGATGATATTACTGTAATCATCCTGATTGAAGTTTAATGGGAGAGGAACATCTTCCACTGGCATGTCTGTGTTAAGAATCTGAAAGCAAATGAAACAAATATTGAAGAAGGAAATAAATATTGAAGTGTCATGTACAATGTGATCATGTGATATAAGCAAACTGAATCAAAATCTTCTCCATAAAAATTGCAAACCTGCTCAATATCATTAGCATCTAAATACGAATCCTCATCAACAGGCAACTCCTGAGTAAAATCTTCCTGTTTGGGAACAACTACAGACTCATCTTCATCTTCCCATTCCTCCTCAATAAATGGTGCCCCATATTTTTCACCATTCTTGGGTCCAGAACCACTCTTCCTGAAGATCCTACAGAGGACAAATGCATCCTGCAAAAACACAAAAGACACCATGACAGAATCATATGAAGAGAAACTAAATAACATGCAGATTATATTACAACAAAGCCATAAGAATCACAAAATTATAGTCACCTGTATAATTCCAGCCTTTTCCAGCTCCTGATCGATGAGTCTGTATTCATGCATAACCCAATTTGTCCTCTCACCTTTTGGAGCACGACCACTGTGATACACCAGAGTTTTCTTCATCCCTACCTGTTGAGACCTATGGTGAACCACTCGGTCTTTCCCAGTAGTCTTCCAGTAGCCCTTTTCGGTGGCTCGATTTGTCCTGGATCCATTCCCATATTTCTTGTCGAGGGCACTGAAAAAGTACCATTCCAGGTCTCTGCTCTTCAGTTTGGACAAATCTATACCCCAAAATCGACCAAATTACACAAGAAGATATGTTAGACTCTTAAAAGCTTAAACCCTACAACAATCATAAAGCTCAATTTCGTAACACGATCCGTAGAGTACAAAACATACAGCAGTGTAAGTGTTAGTTGACTGATCCGTTATATAACCCTAAATTAGAATGAACCATAGAAGAGGGAAGAGCGGATTGACCTGGAAGATCCCATGGCTCGACTTTGTAGACATCAACGTCAGAAATCGCATCAAATCGGAAGGGTTTACCGCAAATCTTGCGCCTGAGATAGTACCGTACGAGTTCCTCATCTGTTGGATGAAACCTAAACCCAGGAGCGAGTGAAGAAGTTACTGGTGTGGAATCAATCGATAATGCCATATATGAATGATGTTAGGGTTCTTGGTTGTAATTTAGAGAGAGAAAATCGAGCTTTTGAACGAAATATAGATAACAAGAGAAGTCTTGATTAGTGGTTCAGTGCGGGTTTCGCCATTGAAGGAGCTCCATTTGGGAAAAAACGAAATTTTTTACTTTGTCAAAAATCTGATCGCCGTGTTCTTATATGTTTGGTGTTTGCGGGAAGAAATGGGTTTGGTGCAGTCACAACTCACACGTCTCTCGCTTGACTCACATGGTCATACGAGTCGACTCATGGAGTTTGGATTAAGGCTAATCATGTGTTCATTTTATTTTTTTTTATTTTTTTGCAAATAGAAGGAACAATCAACAATTTAAATTCCTAATCATGTGATTTTTATTTTAATTTTCTTGATGACCACAATGGTAGAAGGAAGCTGATAATAATGGTTAATTTAAGAAGTTCAAGATTTTGTTTGATCGTTTGAGAGATTTAGGTGTTGTTTGTTTTTTTTTTTAAAATCACTTCAGACCACTTATTGCTGCGCCGTGCAGCACACACGCAGCACTTGGCCTTTCGCAGCTGTTTGTTTTCCTGAAGACTTCTGACTTAAAAACTGTTGCGCGTGTGCTGCGTGGTGCAACACTAAACCAACTGCTTCAAACCTCTTCGCGCCTTACTTTAACTTACTGCAGCAGTCTGCAGAAGTTAAAAAACAAACAGGCTTTTTATTAAAATGTTGCAGCCTTTTGTTCCACCTCTTCTGCTACAGATGATTGCAGAGGTGGTCCGCAGACTTAAGACATTTTCGCTTCGAAAAAACAAACTACACCTTAGAGATGTGGTAATGTGCAAATGTTACTTGCAAATTTTTTTATACCAGCTCGTTTGGGTGGCATCCCCAAACTACTTTAAATAGAGGCGGATTTGTTATGTAAAATGTATAACATAATTGAACATTTCTTATCTTGTTTTAGTGACCTCTTCATATCATATGTATCAATCTATAGAAGGAGGAGGTTGGCATGAAATGGTGAAATCTAAAAGTTTTATTGTAATTTTGAAGCTCCATTATTTACGATTTGAACTAACAAGAACCCTCGTAGAATGTTTTTGGGATGCCATAGTTTTAGGATTTGTGTTTAAATGTTTAGGTAGGAAGCACAAATGAATAAAAAAAAAAGAGAAAATTACAAATTTAGCCTAATACACTAATTACTTTGTGGAAAATAGCCAAAAAAAACCCAAATTGCATTTTTAGCCACTAAAATCACAGATGGGTATAATTTGTCATGTCATCTGCGAACGTACAAGTGGCTAAAGCACAGACGTGCTTTAACCACTTGTATGTTCGCAGGTAGTTTTTTTTCGCTGTATATATATCTTTTTTCCAGCCTAAAATCGCAGATTGACTACTATGTCCATCTGCGATTTCCTCTCGTTTCACCTGCGATTTTATGATTTTTTTTTTGTTTTTTTGTTTTATTTTTACTACGAAATTTATAGGGTTTAACTACGAAATAACATTATTATATATAAAAATTTTCAAAAAATTATCATTTTTGTTGTTATTTCGCTGTATATATACCCTTTTTCGGGATTGTTGATGAAATCGTCCATTATTGATCTAAGGAAACCGCTAGGAGAGAGTTTCTCTAAAAAAAATAGTGAAAAATGAAAAAAAAAAAAAAACGTTTTTATACTAAAACTCTACGAAATCACAGATGGAAAACACCAAATCACAGATGGACTTTTCCATCTGCGAACGTACAAGTGGCTAAAGCACAGATGTGCTTTAGGCATTTGTACGTTCGCAGATGAAAATGCGAAATCGCAGATGGGCTTAATCCATCTGTGATTTTAAGGGCTAAATTTGCAATTTGGGTTGTTTTGGCTATTTTCCACAAAGTAATTAATGTATTTGGCTAAATTTGCAATTTTCTCTAAAAAAAATCAACTATATTATATTTGTGTTTAAATGTATAGGCAAAGAACTAAATCTACAAGCTACAAAAACTTGCTTCTTAAATGCATTTGAGGTTGAAGAAATTAGAAGAACAAAAGTTTACTCGACCTCTGATGAGTTTTTGGCATAAGAACAATCCTATGTGCTCATACAAACCCTAATGCTTGGATCTAGGTTTCTCTATTGTACATGCATTGAATCCAAGACTTTCAAACCCTAATCTAGCATACATAATTCGAAAATTAACTTAATACATCAGATCTAGATGTTTACCTCTTCAAAGATTGGCTTAGATCTTCTTTTCTTCTTCTCTTAAAGCTTAGAGTCACAATTGTAACTCCTCTAATGGATCACAAACACCTCAAGCAAGAAGGCAACTTTAAGAGAGGAGGGAGGATGCTAATTTTCGGCCCTAGGGTTTCTCTTGGGAACAAGTGGTCGAAAATTGGAGTCTTGGGGTCTCATTTATAGTGCAGGCTGCTAGGGTTTCAGTCTAAACCCTAATGGATACCTTAGCCACCAAGTAGCCCAAGGAACCTTCTGGAATAGGGCCCTTGGACGAAAATATGATGATCCTTCATCATAATTTCGTTCCCCCTTAGTCCATTAGGTTTCCCAGCCCAAAACTCAACTATCACACATTTGACAGTTTATGCCCCTTTATTTAATTAATCTCTTTTAGTCACCAAATTAATTCCTAATTAATTTATGACTAATACTAATTAAATAAATATGATTTCTCCTTTAATATATTATTCTTATAATATATTAATAAACCATAATATCCTCTCTCTCATATCAAATTACCTTGTCAAGTTGCTTTGGTGAAGGCAACCCAAAAGGACCATGCATAACCGGGTCAAGTACATACCAAATATAGTTACGGGCTTAGACACTAATCCAACAGTCTCCCACTTGGATAAGTCTAGTAACTATATCTCACATACGACTTCAGGATCTGGTTAGCAATCGTAGCTCTTATACGCTTCTGTCAACTCTGATCAAAATCCTGTCCTTCAGATAAGGGATCGTATAATCCTCTGTTCTAGATATCATGCTGACAATACTTATTGTCCAGCATTTTGTTTCTCGATCTCTGATTTATTCAACATAGAATTTACTTGAACACATCAACTTCATTTTTGACCGGGCCCGACACATAAGTCAAACTAAATCATCGAGTGGCCAAGATATCGCTTTTATTCTCTTAGAATAAAAGGTACAGAAAAACTTCGACTTATATGCTTTTATCATTTACTAGCTAAGTCACACACAATAATGCGTTTTATAACATCAAGTTACTGATGCGTTTTCGCATTATCAATGCATAATCAACTAGCAAACAACAACCATATCTCTAGGTTTAAAGATTATATGATATTATCATCTTGCGATCACTTATGATAACTTTCATGAAGTGATACTAGCAAGTGCGGGTTTATTCCAATGCTCAAAACAAATTTCATAAGCACTCATAAACTTCGTAGCAAACCTTTGCTATGTCTAAAACCTTTCAGACAATCTACAAACAAATTTATGACAATCTTCTTTCATATCTACTTCCAACATATGAGCGATTGTGGACTGTTCGAACAATCTTATTATTCAGGAAGTCAAAACATGCAAAATTGGAAATAACAGATAAATAATCAACACAAGATAGTAACTTTCTTATAAATAACACACCTTTATTTAATCATCAAAATGTTGAATACAAAATTATCCATTACAAATTTCCTACCTATCTAATCTAAACTAATATCGTCCTTTAGTCCAACGCTCCTAGCGTGCTTCAAATGCTTAACCCTACTCAGTCCCTTCGTAAGGGGATCTGCTGGGTTATCTTCTGACGATACCCTCTTCACAACGAGGAGTCCCTCTTCTACCCGATGTCTAATAAAATGGTATTTCCTGTCGATATGTCGAGATCTGCCATGATCCCTTGGTTCCTTGGTCAAGGCAACCGCTCCTTCATTATCACAGAAAATTTCCATGGGCTCCTTTATGGATGGCATAACTCCAAGGTCTCCTATGAAGTTCTTCAACCATATAGCCTCCTTTGACGCTTCGCTTGCCGCAATGTACTCTGATTCGCACGTTGAATCAGCTACGGTCTCTTGCTTGGAACTTTTCCAAGTCACTGCTCCTCCATTCAGGGTAAAAACCCAGCCTGACTGCGATCGGTAATTATCCCGATCCGTCTGAAAACTAGCGTCATTGTACCCTCGCACCCTTAAGTCATCACTCCCACCGAGGACTAGAAACCATTCCTTGGTCCTTCGTAGGTACTTAAGAATATTCTTGACAGCAATCCAATGCGCCCTACCAGGGTTCCCTTGATATCTGCTGACCATGCTCAAAGCGAAGGCCACATCAGGGCGAGTACAGGTCATAGCGTACATAATCGAGCCAACTGCGGAAGCGTAAGGTACTCGGCTCATATCAGCTATCTCTGCCTCTGTACTTGGGCTCTGAGTCTTACTCAGTTTGGTATTGCATTGGATTGGTAACTCCCCTTTCTTGGAATTTTCCATACTAAAACGTTTTAGTACCTTTTCCAAGTATGTATCATGACTGAGTCCTATCAGTCTCTTACTTTTGTTTCTCGCTATCCTTATTCCCAGTATATATGCAGCTTCTCCGAGGTCCTTCATAGCGAAACACTTCCCAAGCCAGGACTTGACCTCCTGCAAGGTTGGAATGTCGTTTCCTATGAGTAGTATGTCATCGACATACAATACGAGGAAGCTCACTATACTCCCACTGGCCTTGACATACACACATGACTCATCTTCGTTTCGCAGAAAGCCAAACTCTTTGACCTTCTCGTCAAAACAAATATTCCATCTGCGAGATGCTTGCTTTAATCCATAAATGGATTTTTCAAGCTTGCACACCCTATTGGGATGCTTCGCATCGACAAAACCCTCTGGCTGATTCATGTAAACATCCTCAGCCAACTTCCCATTTAGGAAAGCGGTTTTTACGTCCATCTGCCAAATTTCATAATCATGAAACGCAGCTATTGCGAGCATTACCCTAATAGACTTTATCTTGGCAACTGGCGAGAAGGTCTCATCATAGTCAACTCCAGGAGTTTGAGTAAAGCCCTTCGCGACCAATCGCGCTTTATAAGTATGCACTTTCCCATCCATGTCTGTCTTCTTCTTGAAGATCCACTTGCACCCGACTGTCTTACGACCCGGTACATTATCAACCAAATTCCAAACTTGGTTGTCATACATGGACTGAATCTCGCTGTCCATTGCCT